AAGGGTGGAGCCATATAAACCCACAAAAATCAACTCAGAGGGAGTTAAACCAACACTCTTCTTTTTGCTCTGCAGATGATGGCTATTGAGTTAAAAAACGATCTGACTAAGTTTCTGGATTGCACATTCAAGAGTCATTTACTTCAAAGACAAAGATTATTTCAATTTGCTTGATTGTATGTGGTGGTTATTTTAGTTATGGTAAACATTTAGGAATGGTAAAGAATAAAAAGGAAGCAAATTTGGTCATTTAGAAGGAGACATGGATATTTGTCAATATTAAAACATTTTTCTATAGATCAACTGTGCATTTCATCATCATATAGCTGTATGTCGATTTATTGGTGGTAATCTATAATGATATCATTTTCTCGGGCAAAGATCAGGCGCATTCGCACTCTGAGCCGCTGGAATGTGAGCCTGCCTCATTACTCTCAAGGACTTAAGCTGATGAACAACACTAAAGACCTAAAAGCCGTTCTTGTGTGGCTCAATGCACACATATTGTGAGAGTTTTCAGACACCGGGTATTGCATTTATTTGTTTCCTTGAATTCAAAACATTTTGCCAGATGTGATCTTTTATTGTGTATTTTTAAACAAATCTGCAGTTTGAAATGTGCAAGTAATTTCGCCACTTGATTTATTTGACAAAAAAAGGCCTTTTTTATTACATGTTCATATTTTCTCTAAGTATTTTGTCCCGTTGAGGAAGTAATATATGATTGCATTTTCTACAGTCATTTCCTTGAAACAGCTGTGCATGCACATATCAGCTCTTGACTTCTGCAGTACCTTCTACCTTAAGTCTTGCTTTCTTTTTTCCTGTTGTTCCACCAAATATGGGCACTCTGTATTCTGTTTTCTCTTCGCTGGCTTCTCTTCCTTTTCCATATCTAAATTTGGTGTAAAACATGCCTAGTATATAGCTGTGGCAAAGCAGACAAAAAGTGAACTAAGTTTTAAATGGTAAAAGAGTATTGAGCTTTCAAGCTTAGTTCTGAGCCTCTGAATCATGTTGTCAGTCAAACATCCACATTCTCTGCTCTTTAATTTGTTCATTGAGCATTCATCTCTTTTTAAGAGTTTTGGATACGGATAAACCCTTTAGGGCTATGTGTGAGTCGAGAAGCGCATGTTTACAGAATTGTTGGGAGCTTTCACAGGAAGTCATCATTGGTGCTCCACTGACCGAGTTATCTCTGTCACTGTTATGAATCACCATATGAATACCTGCACCCCAAAGACAGGGCCATCTATAGGCTGAGGGTCTATGCACCCAGGAAGCTATGCCTATCATCTTGGCCACCCCAGGCACTTATGTGCTCCATACCACTGGCTACTGGAAACCCATGCGTTACATGAAGGTCTGTGGTACTGTCACAGAGATCACTGAAACTCATTCATTCATTCATTCATTCATTCATTCATTCATTCATTCATTCATTCATTCATTCATTCATTCATTCATTCATTCATTCATTCATTCATTCATTCATTCATCCATCCATCCATCCATCCATCCATCCATCTATTCATTCATTCATTCATTCATTCATTCATTCATTTATCTACTAACCAGCTCATTCCTTTTCGGGGTCACAGGGCAAGCACACATCGGGTGAGAGGCAGGGGTACACCCTTGACAGATCGCTGGTCCATCACTGAAACTCTTTCAACTTAAAAAAACAATCAAAAATGTATTTTTTACTGTGAGAAGTTCCATACATTAACAATAAATAGTTGGTTTGTATAATAGTGTCAGCTTAGCGTGCTCATGTAATAATAAAAGTTAGATTAAACTTTAATTTCTATAAAAATATAAAAAAATTGATATAAATATAATGTGTAGGTTTCAAAAAGGTTATTAGTTCTGATATTTTCATGTTTTAAATGGAGATTGCAAAAGTGATTTCCTTTAAAAGGAAAATTGAAATTAAAATGTGAGAAAATGCACGACCGTCTTCGATTGTCAACAGACCCAAAATCGGTGTTATCGGTGACATCTAGTGGTGAAAAGAATGAATAACCCTTGGAAGTGCAAGATCTGTGATATAGCCCGATGGCACAAAAACTGCTTGGAACAGTGTATAAAGTTTAGGAGAGGTTCAAATAATTTTATTTATCTCCACACTTTTTTATGTAATACCTAAAGGATTTATAAAATCCTTAGGGTATTACTTTTTTTTCTTACGGTATTACTTATTTTTGTGGAATTATTGACTAATGTAATTAAAAATATTTTCTAAAAATGATGCTGGGGTTGTACTGACACAAAAACTGTTAATTTATTAGAGTAAATTGTAAAGTCTTAAAAAATGTTCAAAAAGGCCCCGGACTTTTAAGGTTTAATGTGCTCGTTTGAATAATGCTAGGGCTGTAAACAGCCTTTAAAAAAGTCTCTTACAAATCATCAGTGTCATCAGACAATCGCTTTTTCTGTAGACGCTACATTAAGTACAAACACTTTACATGAAGTAAAAAATACATGTGACTTTCAGATACGGAGCTTCTAAAATTTTTGGTACTCTTACCAAGATGAATTTACTCTACAGATGAGGCTTTTTTTCTTTTAGTGGCAAACTCATCTGCTCTGGCCAGACATACATTCATCTGCTTTCATGTGACATCACTATTTCTTTGTTTTTTTAATTCTAAACCTCACCAATCTGCCAGCACCGAATCCTGTGCTGTCTCCTGAAAGGGAAACCATCCTCCTCTTGGCTTCTAAAGCTAATTGCTTTCAAACACATGACCAAATCTGGTCTGGGATCAGGTCTCCTATATCCAGAAACGCTCCCCTCTCTCTGATTCAGAACACATTGCCCTGAATAAAAGTGCCGCTGTGACAGAGATACATGGAGGGCAGGATTAAGCTCAAAAACTGAGCCTGACATCAAAGCGAAACACAGCAGGCTTTTAATCAGTGAGCTGAGCCAGTGTCAAACGACTCAGATTCGACTCGTGACTTTCCCCAGTACGTTTTTACGGACAACAATGAGGCTGGGACAAGGGAAAAACTGACCGAAATTTTTGTTGATGCAAAAACACAATCTCACCAACAAGATTTAAGCGACCAATCTAAAGTTTATTTGTTAACAGACATATATTCTATTTTTGGACTATGAATAATGTCAAAGGTCAAATAAATCAGAATGGAATGACTCAGAAAACATTATGTTTTATTTCACATGGAAAAATCTGTAAAAATGTAAAATTTCATCATGTAACCAATTTGGTCTAGACAAGGATATCCACTTGCTGTTTTTTTTTTAAGATCAGGCAAACAAATCAAGAGCATTTCAGCACCATAATCAAAAACTGGCAAAAGTCAAAATCTGAAACTATGCTTAAAAGAAATTGAATCCAATCTTTTGAATACTTTCAAGAATTGAAAAGAAAAATCCAAGAAACAAGGAGCTCGGGGTCATGCATTCACAAGAATCATACTTGAAGGGTTTTAGTGTAGATGTCAGAGTACATATAAATACAGCCACGTCATTAACGTCTAATGAATCAAGGAATATTTTATACTGTAAAATGTATTTTTTTCAGGCAGAGAAACTGGATTCAGGATGTAAATTTGGGGGAACTCTGGGGTGGAAATAAAAAAGAACAGCTGTTGCCAGTGGATACAGTCTCTGTATATTAGTCTGTAAAAAGTAATTTGTGTGACTTAAAAAAACAAAAAAAATCATGCAAATAAACAAAATGTAAAAATCACAAATCAGAATTTTTATAATGTTGAAGTATTTTTGAACAAACGAACGAATGAACAAATGAACAAAAGAAAGAAACAAACAAACAAGCGGGCGGGCGGACAGACAAATATACAAAATGTAAAAATCACAAATCAGAAGTCTTGATGTTGAACATAGTATAATAGGACATTTTGAACAAACAAACAAACAAACAAACAAACAAGCAAACAGGAGTCTTGTTAGCTGAAGTTAGCTTGACATTTAAAAGCTTACATTTTTGTTGGCTTTTTGTATTGTGTGTTACACAACCCTCTGGGGCAGATAAAAACTTGGAAGCATGAAACTGATAAAATACAGTTTTTTTACTTTTAGCCTGATGTTATTTGATCATTTTACCCGCTTGGCTTCTTCAGTGTCGACAATTCAGCACCCGCGTGTCCCTAGCTCCCTGGTCTCTGATTTGTGGTTTTGTTTAAAGTCCAGCATCATGCCCAGATGGCTCTGGTTAAAGTTTTCGTGTCCTCTGTGGATCAGGTCACAGAAAGATAAATGGTGCTGAAGCACTAAATCTCCATATTTTCAAATCACACTTCATCAGACAGGAGAAACAGAGAGAAGGGGATAGTATAAAGAAGAAGAAGAAGAAGAAGAAGAAGAAGAAGAAACCCATACCAGATATAAACACAGTGGATTCAGTATGTTCAAAAATGCAGTGGACGGTTGCTTCGATAAACGTTGTGTGTTGTAAATGATTCAATAGGTTCCAAATCCTGCTGCTGACAGTCGTTGGGTGGTGTAGCAGGTTCTATCATCCCTAACTCAAATATTAACATGTTTATACATTAGAGAAGCATTCTGCTTCGCATACTTGATTGATTTGCTGGAGATTGAATTAATGTTGTGCAGATTTGAAATCTGACTGGCTAAGAAAACAGACGCACTATAAGGCAGTTATTGAAGTGAGGTCATCCGTTCTGTCACTGAGGCCCTTGGCAGATTAGATATTGCCATGGCAGCAAGTTCATCATTTAGACACTTACTGTGCAGATAAGAGAAAGACATTAAAGAACAGTAAATAAACTTTGTGGTGATTTTTGGGAAGATTATGTGAAACAATAATTTATATTGCTCATATTGGTTAGTGCTAGTAGAGAAGATCTTGAAGAACCGAATGGATCACTATTAGTAGACCTCTAAGAGATGATTCCAGCATGTTATTGTATTCAAGTTGCAAGTATTCACTGGTCATCAAATGGGAAGTTATAACACACTTTTAACTTTAGATTCTTTAGTTCCACTGGGTACTGTGGTGCAATAGGTAGCACTGCTGCCTTTCAGTAAGAAGGTCACTGGTTCGAGCCAGCCGGTGGCAGAGTTCCCCAATAGAAAACATGCATCAGACTGAAATTCCCCTTAGGAGTGAATGTGTGCTAGTGATTATTTGTCCAGGGTGTACACTCGCATTTTGCATTTTCCAACATACCCAAGTAACATGAACACACTATCACAGTTCCAAGTCCAAGTGAATTTTTAAAATTTAAAAAGGGCCCCCTAATACAAATTTAAGAGTCACTTAGCACATTGCTCGATACTGTTTTTAGGGCATTGTTGGGCAGGGCGAGTGCAGTGTCCGGGAGTCACTGAGGAGATCCAGCGGGGTGTCTTTACCCCTTTTGGTAGGGTGGTACCCAGTTGTTCTTAAGCAGCGGTTTGGAATCACCATATTGCTGGGACCTTGGTGTTCCCCATGTTGTGAGCTAAGTGGCTCATCTCCATGGTGGTGTCTTTGTGTGGCACTGGACAGCCTGGTGTTCTTGCTCAGCTCTCCCAAGGCAGATGTACAGCCAGAACCAGGGACTCTGTAGGCCCAGCGCCAGCACCTGTTGACCCGGTCTGCTTGAGACAGGTCTCGCTGTTGCTTGCTCTCCACGCTCATGCAGAGGAATTGACTCTTCTTTCTGCCTCTCTCTATCGCTTCTTTAAAATACGTGCCTTGATGAGTGGCATCTGACAATGCTGATTACATCATGCACCAAATCACACCGTTTTTCATCAATCACTGAACTTCTTTCTTCATCAGGGGGGTGGGTCTTTAGTCTCAGAAACTAAAAGTAGATGCAGAGATATTGGGTGAAGATGAATCATTAAAAATCTTGCTGAAAGCTCAGTGGAGCATTGTTATCATTACATCTATTTCCAGACATCCCAGGTGGAAGAGGAGGAAGAACTCGAGCCGCTTTCAATTAGGCTTTAATGAAAGCCTGCCAGGACTCGGCTGAAGCCTGGGGCCCAACAGCCACGAGTCAAACCATATCCATATCTAGTTTCCAAATCACTCCATGAGCTTAGAGTCAGTGCAGCTAAATGAAGAATAATCATTCATAAACATTTGCTGTACACATGTGCGAAGGTGGACGGCACGGTGGCGCTGAGGATGGCACTGTGGCCTTCAAGTTAGAAGGTTGCTGGATCGAGGCTTGCTTGAAACCTTCCTGGAAGGAGTTTGCATGTTCTCCCCGTGCTTGTGTGGGTTTCCTCCAGGTACTCCGGTTTCCCCCACAATCCCAAAAACATGCGGTTAGATTAATTGAACAATTTTAATTCCCTTTAGGTGTGAAAGTGTGAGGGAATGTTGCCCTGCGATGGACTGGCGACCTGTCCACCCCCGCCTCTCACCCAATGGGCGCTGGAGATAGTCACCGGCAGACCCCCGTGACCCCAAAAGGGAATAAGCGGGTTGGAAAATGAATGAATGTGTGAAACTGGTTATTGTGGCTCAAAAAGGAATTGTCCCAGACAATTCAAAAAGACCTAGAGTCCCTTCTGCTGCTGAGAATAAGTTAAATCAGCCTCAGGAGTAATTTATTAACAGCACCTCACCTTAGAACCCAGCTGAATGCCACACATGAGTTCCTATTCAAACTCATGTAACACTGTATAAAAAACATTTCACAAATTTTACAAAATAAAAAACACTACTGCGCAGTTGACACCTGTAAAAAATGTATTCTATAAAAGGTAACTATTAACAGCTTTTCGTTACCCTATACGTAGATTTCGATCTAACTCAACTTAAAATCAACTCTAAATACTAGTCACCCAGCTTATAAATTTATATTTTGAAATATTTCATTTTACCCTATTTTTAAATACTAAGTCAGTGTGTGACATACTATGTTAAATTTGAAACTCATTTATTTTATACAGACTTCTTGAACTGAGTGTGCGGGTAACACAAAGTGACGTCTTGAGTCACGTAACACGCACAATTGCTATACTCGACAAATTTATTTTATATTATTTTATATATGTATATATATATATATAGGAAAAAAAAGAGTTACTTGTAAAGTATGCATTTTAAAAACTCACAATTATAAAGTTCTAAATACTCAAAAAAGGCCTAAACAAAAATAGCACAACTAGCCTGGTTAACTTTAAGCTGTATGGAAGTTGTAGGGGTTTAAATTTGTTTTAAATAAAGCTGAATATTCACACTTTTGAAAGGACACACCAAATCTGTGGTTAGTTTTGTCCCAAGATCATCAGGTCTCCTGGCTTTTTCACCAATGTACATAACCGCTCCTGAGGAGACAGACAGCTCCACCGGTGTACCACATGCCATAACACGTCAGCGACACATGTGTAGTTTTCAGTTTTCAATAAAAAAATAAAGTGATAAAATAACAGTTAGTTTCAACATTACGTTTCTGTTCAAAGTGGTTCAAATGGTTTTTGTTCCCTTAAACCAGGGGTGCTCACACTTTTTTAGCTTGCGAGCTACTGTTAAAATGACCAAGTCAAAGTGATCTACTCGCTACAAAAATGTAAAACATTAATCAACAAAAAATTATTTTCAACTTTATTGAGAATTGACAAAACACACATAATAATTAACTATTTACATTTTTATTTGTAATAACCTGAGTTTAATTTGATGACTTGCACTGAATTGAATCAGCCAGGGATGCATAGTCCGGACAGAAGCTGCTGACAGCCAGCCTCAAGCACACTTCCAAATGTTCATCAGTCATTGTGGAACGCAATTTGGACTTAATGATTTTCATGTAGGAATAAATGATTTACTTGGTCCAGCTCCTTCACTCATTTTGGTGACCATAAACTTAAGCATGGGCTAAAAATCTGACGTAATACGCTGTGACATAAAGGTCAAAATTCAGTAGTCATCTGACTGGTTGCCCTGTACATCGATCAAGTGACGGGATGGATGATCAGCTGGTATTGTTTCAATTTCACACAGCGATCGACCAGTAGCACCTCCGCTCGATCGCGATCGACGTAATGAGCACCCCTGCCCTAAACGCTTGGTCACCTTCCAGTTTTCATTCTTCTTCCATGAACTGGTTCAGAGCTCTGCAAGCTACGGCTGAGTTTAGTAGATATGAGAAGAATAAATCTATCACATAAATGACCTGAGCAGCCTCCCTGCATCTTAACCCTGGGCAATTTTCAAAACCAATCCCCAGTTTATAATCTCCCGCTACATCGGGTAACTCTCCATGCTGTTACAATCTCTTTTTCATGTACAACAATGTAATTCTGTTATAATTCAGTTTTACTGAACCCGGAAACTCAATGCTTCCCTGTAAAAACCACAAGCCCACCTTAGCTCTGCCAGATGGGTTACAAACAGCGATCAGCAAAAGCTGAACCCAGATAACATTCTTTTTCTATGAAATGGCACTCGAGCAAGAAGGCTTGGTAAATAAGGATTTGATTAAGCGAGCAAGGGCAGAGAAGGCCGGGACACGGGGCTGGGCACTCAGCCATTGCACAGATGCATATCTCTGTTTGGACAAACAAATGTACTAAACTCAGATTTGGAATCAGCAGATGTGATTCCAGTGTAAACAGCCTCCACTGTAAAAAGCTTATTTCATATCTATTAAACCATGCAGAAAACAAAGACGAGCTTCACTCAATGCTTTACCAATCCCTACTTACATTTTGCAAGGCCCAATTACACGTCCAAATGGATCATAATTGGGCTTTGACCTTGTGCTTCAGCAAATACAACATCTCAAACAGTGCTTTCATGAGAAATAAAAGGTTGGTTTTATCCTCAGAGGACACTGGGCTGTGTGTTGAACACTTTTGAAGTGATTTGTTTAAATGTTTGAATGTGGTTAACATTTTACACTGGATGTCGTATGAGGACCATATGAGGAGTGACACGAAACTGGAAAATAAATCTACAGCAAGGGCCTCACAAAACTGTAGCTTTGGTAAAATTTAACTTTCTTAACCCACTTCCCCCTTTTGGGGTCTAAAAGATCTCCAGTACACATCAGGAGAAGGTGGGGTACTCGATGGACAGGGGAGAAAATCACGGTCACCAATGAGCCTAAAAACCAGTAAGCTTCTCACTGAAAGGCTACAGTGCTACCCACTATATTTGAAATATTGTACAATAGATAAGTTTTAATAAAATAAAAAAAGCAATGTTTTTTGCATGAATTTTTAAGTAGTACAATACAAACAAAGCTTGTCTTTAAATTATTTTAAAATGGGATTTGACTTGGGTAATGCTTGGTGCCCGGGTTTCCCTGACGTTCTCAGAGAAATCTCGCCTTAATGCTTTTATGCCAAACCCATTTGAGTAATGGGCTAATTTTAATCGAGATGGATATGAGCTGAATTTTAAGCGAGTTTTGCTAACAGCGAAGAGCTATCATTAAGCATATTTCACATGCGTCCATCTTATCCACTTCACGATACTACAACGTTTTGGCGACCTTGTGCATGTTACTATGGCAATGGTAAACACACATAACAGATATGTCAAAAATGTGTAAACAGAAGGTAAAAAAGCTTCAAATCAGAATTGTGCATCAAGAGCTGTAGTGTGGCATGATAGAATTTAGATGCAAATTCCACCTGCTACCATCTCGTTTCAACCAAAGCCATGAGTTACTATGGTTACCAGGGGCACATTGATATAGGTGAACAAGGAGAAACCTGTGCGGTAATTAATCAACACCCCCTAGCCAATCAGTATCCACTATTCAGACATGGCATAAACATTTATACTATCAGTTTCACATCGACTGCGTCTATTCTCGTGTCTCTCGGGGCATTATACGCATATCCCGCACACTGCAGAGCTCGACCCTTCTCGTTGGGTTCCGTTCTTCAGCTCTCCCGTAGTGTAAACGAGGCCTTGTCAATGGCATTGAATATTTACTTGTCAATATAACACCTTCCACTCACGCTCTTGAGACTAGGAAGGCCCATGAATTTGTAAAACAGGGTTTAGGATCATAGAGATGTTGTGCTGCAGTTTTGTTTAGAGGTGGCCCATCAATCCATTAATGTCCCTTTGTAGGACCAAAATACTTATATGGTTGTAAA